CAGCTGGAGGGACTGGTCCTCCCCACGGGGAAGGTGAGAGAACGACGGGGTCCCCAGGTTGGGGTGCACCCCCAACGGTGAGCCACGACTGCGGGGTGGGAAAGGACAGGAGAGCAGCAGAGCTCTGCCCCACAGCAAGCGTAAGACAGGGGACACGAGAAGTGACGTGGGATGCCTCACGGCAGGCTGAGGGGACGGGAGAGGGGCCGCGCGTTGCTCCCAGCGCCACTCACCATTGAGCGGGTCCGGGGTGTCCATGAAATCGGCAGCGAAGTTGGGATGCAGCTGGTCGAGGGTGGGCTGGATCATATCCGCGTTGCCCGGGTGAGCTGCGGGGTGGCAGGGAGTCGGGCAGCGTGGGGTGGGCACCAGACCCTGCTGGGCATCGCGGACCCCCTGCCAGGCAGAGAAAGGATGAGAGATGCTGGTGAGCTCAGATCCAGAAGCCGGTGCTGCCAGGAAACCCAGTTATGCCAGTAGGACTGGCCAAACTGGGAGAGGGGAGCCCTTTGGACAGCAAGCATGGGTGTAGACGTGGCTCTGGTACCTGAGAGGGCAACGCTGCTGGTTTGTCCTCTGTCTTCCGCACCTGGAGAAAATCAAAGAGGAGTCACGACGCGTGTCATTGCCCACCCGGGTGGCCGCAAGGCTGGCACAGAGCGGGCAGTGCCACCTGCCCCTCTCCTGACGTGGCTACCCATACCCCGGGGTAACATGAGGGGGGGAGGAGCGGGGATGGCAGCCAGCGGGGCTGGAGAGCTGGGGACAAAGGTGTCCCCAGGCTGGCAGGAGGTTGGCTGGAGCATGCCATCGCCATTTGGTCTGGGTGGGAGGGGGGTGTACTGGGACCACGGGAGCTGCAATCCTGTCAGGGACTGGGGGGCTGTGGGAGCTCACCTCTAGACCACAGTCTCCATTCTCACGAAGTTGCAGGTGGGATTTCTCCTCTTCTGCATGTCTGTGGGGAGAAGGGAAGAGGGATGATTTCACTGCTGTCCTCTCCTATGCCTGGGCTGTGCCACCCTGGTGGGCACCAACACACCCCAGGGCTTGGGAGAAAAGGGATGGGTAGCAAAGCCACACCTTCATAGAACCATGGAATGGTTGGAGTTGGAATGGACCTTAAAGCTCATTGAGTTCCACCCCCCTGCCCTGGGCAGGGACACCTCCCACCAGCCCAGGTTGCTCCAAGCCCCGTCCAACCTGGCCTTGAACACCTCCAGGGATGGGGCAGCCACAGCTTCTCTGGGCAACTTGGGACAGTGTCTTGCCACCCTCACAGTTAAGGATTTCCTCCTAATATCTCATCTAAATCTCCCCTCTTTCAGTTTAAAACAATTCCCTCTCATCCCATCGCTCCCCTCCCTGATCCAGAGTCCCCCCCCCAGCTCTCCTGGAGCCCCTTTAGGGACTGGAAAGGGCTCTAAGGTCTCCCCAGAGCCTTCTCTTCTCCGTGCTGAACAACCCCAACTCTCTCAGCCTGTTCTGACAGCAGAGGGGTCTCACCAGAGCGGAGCAGAGGGGCAGAATGCCCTCGCTCACCCTGCTGGCCACACTACTAGGGTAGACACGCCAGGAATCCCATATAAAGCTGACCGTAGTTGTCTGCAGAGCTGTTTCGGCTCGAGTTCACTCTGAAGTTCCAGCCTGTCCGATACAGCAGCACAAAGAGCAGCCCTGGCCATCTGCCAGCCCAGGCGCATCGCCATTGCTGTTATCAGAATGTTCCCAGGCACAGCAGAGTGCGACGATAAGCAGCAAAAGCAAGAAGCAGCCACTAACGAGCACTAGACTCTAATTTACAGTAAGGCATGCAAACCCCGTGGCAAGCATGGGAGCCTGCCAATTAATAACTAAACAGCAATAACAGCTATAAATTCGACCAAGCACGTTCCAATCAAACCTGTCATTATCTCGAACCCTTCGAGCCCCATGTTGGCTGTTGTGGTTTAACTCCAGCTGGTGGCTAGGACCACACAGCAGCTCGCTCATTCCCCCCTGCCCAGTTGCAATGGGGGAGAGACTCAGAAGAGTAAAAGTGAGGAAAAACTCGTGGGTTGAGATAAGGACAGTTTCATAGGTAGAGCAAAATCTGCGCACGCAAGCAAAAGAAAACAAGGAATTCATTCACTGCTTCCCGTCGGCAGGTGGGTGTTCAGCCATCTCCAGGAAAGCTGGGCTCCATCACGCGGAACGGTTACTTGGGAAAACACGCGCCATCACTCTGAATGTCCTCCCCTTCCTTTTTCTTCCCCCAGCTTTATATACTGAGCATGACATCACACGGCATGGAATATCCCTTTGGTCAGTTGGGGTCAGCTGTCCCGGCTATGTCCCCTCCCACCTTCTCGTGCCCCCCCAGCCCGCTCACTGGCGGGGCGGTGTGAGGAGCAGAAAAGGCCTTGAGCACTTGGCAACAACCGAAAACATCAGTGTGCTATGATTGCTATTTCTCATCCCAAATCCAAAACATAGCACTACACCAGCCGCTAGCAAGAAAGTTAACTCCATCCTAGCTGAAACCATGACTCTTAACTAGGTAGTAATAGCAAAAACATCAAATTTGGGTATGGATGAAACAAAACTGGGACCCATGGGAAAAAAAATAATTAGAAGCAGGCTGTTTGGGTGGAGAAAGGAAGGTGGAAAGGTAGCAAAAAGGGCCCAGAAATGGGAAAAAATGGAGAATAAGGTATAAAATCAGGTGAAGGTCAGCACAGGGGGAGCATCTGATATTAGGGGTGCAGATGGCTGCGGATTGTAGTGCTGTTGACCTGCAAGCCAGGTCTGGCAGGCACAGCCCTCCCCCCAGGCCATCAGGACTCCGATGGGACCCTTTCCCCCCCGGCAGTGGGGAGGGAAGAGTGATAGAGCTGTCATTCGACAGCAGTCCTGTGGGGTTCATAAGATAAAGAGCCATAATTAGTAGCTTTGCTGTGTGCATAATCGTTTAACCATAAATTAATAATAGGATGCGTTTGTTAATTATTCAGGTTATTGATTGCTTAACTTACTAGCTTTCTAGCAGTTTATTGCTTCATCAATAAAATGAATCGGTTCTATCCCAAGCCTGCAATCGAGCGGTGGAGAGCCGGACCCGGCAATAACCCAGGCCACGTCCTGAGAGGGGGGCAGGTGGGATGGGGTGGGGGGACGCCCGCAGCGCTGGGCCCACTCACCTTGTTCAGACGGATCTTGTCCCACTGGAGGAACTTCAGGCCCTTGAACTTCTCCCACTTGAGGGACGTGATTCGTCAGCTGGGAACAGGACGGAGGTATTTAGGATGTGGACCCCCAAGAAGTAAGCACCACGCACCCAGCCAGCCCAGCAGGACTCCAGGGCCAGGAGGAGAGGCAGCCCACAGGGGATTCCCTAAAGGGGGGGTGGATCACCCTGCTTTCTCTGCCCAAACCTCCCCCCGGGTCCAGCTTTGCGTCACAGTCCCCTTGCACCTGGTGGCTGCCGCAAAGTCCCTCTGCCCTGGGGCAGGTGCCAGCGGCGGGGCTGGCAGAGCCACTCTGATGGTGCCCTCCTGGTCTGTCTCGCAGCAACTGTCACAAAATCTGGTGGGACGTGGCATGCTGCAGGCCAGGACCCAGGTTCATGGTGGGGAGAACAAGGGAGGTTTCCAGGCTTCTTGCAGTGACAGAGGGTCGGGAGAGGGACATAGTAAAACCCACCCAAGGAGCACCCAAAGGCATGTAGGGTCAAGAAGACCCCAAGCCATGGCAAAGTGAGGAAAGGCCTCAAGAAGAAACAGGGTCTGTCTTATCTCCAAAAGCACAGGCAGGAGCCCCTGCACAGCCCACAGCAGTGCTGTGGCCCCTCACTCCACCCCATGGCCTGTTATCTCCCTTCTGTCCCATGTCCCCCCATGGGAAGTGGGGGGTCTGAAGAGGCTGGTGGCACTTCCACCCCGACAGAGCCCAGATTGCTGCCCGGGGGCGGTGGCCGCACTCCAGCAGCTCTCTACGTGCCGAGCCCCAACCTGGCGGGTGCCCCGGGTTGTGTGAGGAGAAGACTCTGGGAAGGTGGCCCCCGCAACCCCCAGAACGACAGCAGGCTCCAGTGAGGACGCCTTTTCTCAACACAGGCCCTCACAGTCAGCGGCAACGTGCTACCTTCTAGCAGCCTGGCCTGTGGCTTTCCCCCCTGCCTGCCCTCCCATAGCGGCCCCAGCGGGCAGCCGGCTCCCTTTCCCGCTTCACTCCTCCGCCCCCGGTGCCCGGGCCTGCGCCGGTTCCCGGCCCCGGGGCCTAGGCCGCCGAGGGCTCGGGCAGGCCTGCGTCCGGCTGCCATAGCAACCGGGAAGGAGGCCTATACGCATGCGCGGAGCCT